ATAGCCCAAGTATCTGGAGATCAGTGCAGGTCAGTTTGCTTGCTCTAAGTTAGCAAAGGCAAGCGAACTAAAAAGCAGGCAGTTTTTCAACCATTTGTTCCATCTGCAGTGGTGCTCTCCACTCACCACAGTGAGAGTCAGAGCCTGCCCAGCTCTGCCTTTCAAAACAAACTAAAAAAGGAGGGGGAACAATGTTTTCCTTCCTTTTGAATCTTTTTCCATAGGAAGGTGTCTGCATCCTTGTTGGTCTGGGGTACAATGGGAAGGACCAGAATGGAAAGCCTTTGTGGAATGCCTGTGCCAACATGAAGGTCTGGCTGTATGAGACAACACCCTTATTCACAGGGACCATTGCTTCTTTCAACATCAACACCAATACTTGGGTGGCCCGGTGAGCAGGACAAGATTCCCATTCTAGCCTGGTTTGGTAACATCTGCGTCAATAGAACCAAGATCCTACGCTGAGAGGGAGCATTAGGGGAAGAACCTGCCAGTTTTCCTTTCTTCCACTCTTTCTTCCATGTTTTGCTGCTGTGCCATTTGGAACAGCTTACCGGGTTAGATCTTTTCATTCAGTCTAAAAGGGCAGTTCATTAATAACAGTCAAGCAGTTGACTGCAGCAGGAGGGCAGACTGAATATAGCGAGCCCTTGCGCCTGCCTGGTCAAAGTGCCATAGAGCTGCCTCTACCAGCTGGATCCCGTATCCTTGTGATGCTCCCTTAAGCAAGGACTTGACCAGGTTTTGTTTCAGCACTTGCGGGACACACAACTGAAGTGTAAGATCTCATTTCTGGGTGCGTTGTGGGATGAACCACTTCTCCCCAGGAGCTGGGATTTCTTTAAGGCAAGGGCTGCTGTACATTTTGCCCTGGTACGGGGAGCTGCCTTGTTCTTTCTGTCACCACAGGGTGTGCAAAGGCGTACAGCCCCTGGGCCCTGCATCCTTGACATGGGGAGGGGAGGGTAGACAATAAACTAGAAGCACTTTGTTTCTTTTCCACTCTAGCTACATCTTCAAGCGTCTGAAGTTCCTGGGTAACAAACTGCTGTCACAGGCACTGGCCCTGTTCTTCCTGGCCATTTGGCACGGGCTGCACTCTGGCTACCTGGTGTGCTTCCAGATGGAGCTGCTCATAGTCATCATTGAAAGACAGGTGGGCTTTGTCTGATTGACCAGGATTGGGTGGCCTGCAGGAGACTTTCCCTGTGAGCTGGGAACTGCCACACCGAAGGCTTTACTTGGAGTAAAACCAGGAAAAATAGCTGCTCACTTTGGGATTGGTTTTCAAGCACGAGATGGTTCTGTTCTCTACAGAGAGTTCAGTAGGTGGCTTTTGCATGGGCAAGCCATGCATTTGTTGCAGAAGCTGAAAGGAAGAAAAGGGAAGAAGTTGGCATATGGGTAGAAGGCAGCTGAAGCGCTTGGCAGCTGGAAAGGTTGGAGGACATGAGCTGAATGCCTCTGCTAAATGTCCCAGTACTGAGAGAACAATACTTGAACTATTGTTTGGAGGGGGTTGAGCAGCTACTTTTTTAGACTAACTGCTCACTGAAGTCCATTTTACACAGCTGGATAGATAATATTGGCCCCAGAGTATGCATGTACAGCCACAGGACATTCAACTGACAAGAATTTTGTTGCTTTTCTCTAAATTAGATCATAAAGCTTATACAGGACAGTCCCACCCTCAGCACTTTGACCTCCATCACTGTCTTGCGGCCCATCTTCTACATGCTGCAGCAAGCTAACCACTGGCTGTTTCTGAGTTACTCTCTGGTGCCATTTTGCCTTTTCACCTGGGACAAATGGATTAAGGTATTTAGTAGCCACAAACAGACAACACGTGCAACCAACCCTTTTTCCTCCAACCTGTCTCAGATGTTCCTGGCTCAGAGCTGCTTGCTGATCCTTAACCCTGCCTTTCTCTTTCCAGGTGTACAAGTCTATTTATTTCTTCGGCCACGTGTCGCTCTTCATCTTATTACTGGTGTTGCCTTACATTCGCAGACTACTGGTGCCACGAAAAGAAAAGCTAAAAAAAGCAGAGTAACAGCCAAAAGGTAAGGCTGTCCCAGGCAGAGACATGCCCACGCTTGGGCTGGGAGATGAAGTAGGGCAGCAATGTTACAGGCCAAGGTGAAAGGCAAAGCTGAAAAATCAAGCAAACCAAATCTAGCACTTTTCTCTTTTGCAGATTGTACCACCTGTGCATTTGTAGGAGTTACTGAACACTCCGGAAGCAAAGCATCACCTGCCAAGTTTGCTGTGTTGAAGTATGACTTCTTTTCAACGTGAGGAGGGGGAAAGAGAAAGCACAGGGTCAGAGACCCAAAAGGAGGGGAATGGAGCCAACCTCCTTCCACATCCTCCACCTTCTGTATGTTGCCTTATCTCTCTGCCGCCCTCCGATGGACACTCGTGTCTCTCTGCTGATACCCGATGATTGTAAAACATTCAAGGCAGGCACTGTATTGGATTGGAGCCACCTTCTTCTGACTTTTCTACGTTTTGTCATCCAAGATAAAAATTGCTCCTGGTCTTTTTTCATATGGGCTTCAGCTCCTTTCCTGTTGGGTGCCTCGGTGGGGGAATGTGAACTGTCACACACCACCGACTACGGGGATTCTACAGGACTGAGCAACACCACCTGCACGGCAACCAGGGTGCAGCTGAGAATTTCATTTCCATGACAGATTTGGGCAGAGTTCCTGCTATAAAGGGATCGAGCCTACCCATGTATGAAACATGAAAAAGTAAAATACACGAGCACTCTTATAAAAAATGGCCTTTAATAGGAGGAAAAAGGGTGAGTAGGGCAGTCCGTTCAGTCTCATTGCTCCAGAAGCTACAAGGAGAAACTGATGCCTTTTCCCTTCAAAGAGCCCAAAGTTGCACCAGGTCCATCCCTAATTGAAAGAGCCTTTCCAGAATATGGAGTCACTGCACAGAAGTCCACCACAGCAGCAGCAGAAACTCATACTATTCCCCAAACTTCTTCAAAGGCAGTGGTAATTTTAGCACACGTCAGGGCAGCAGAGAGGGGATAGTTGCTGATGGAAACCATCTTTTCTGTATAGTCAACATCGACCTGGGGAAGAGAGAGAAAGAAAAGAAGCCACAAAGTATCAGGCTGCAAGTTTTCACTTAGTCACATCTATCTATCGCCATTGGCTGGGGAGGCACAGTATTCCTGCAGGACAGCTGCCAGCCCTCACTAGCTCCTTGGGAGGGAGAGAAGTACCAAGTGTTACAGCATTGGGTTGGGGAGGGTGGGTGGACAAGGGAGACCAAGCCAAAAAAAGAGCAGAAGTAAAACAACCCATACTCAGAACAAGAGTGAAATCTATGCTGCTAAAGGGTCTTACAGCTCCAAATAAGGGATGCATGCACTTACCGAACCATGAGCAAAAGCTCCAACAACAATGGCAACTGGCTCTGCTGTAGGAACCAGTTCACGCAGATCTGACACTTTTGGGACTGCAAAAGAGGTACCTAGCTTCAGGCAGCCCACAGGGAGATGGTCACTGACTGGGTTTTTAATCACCTGCAGAAAGCAGAAGGTTACTAGAGGTGCAGAGGTAAGATACCCTGCCGCACAGCTAACGCCACTGCTTGTACAAAGCAAGCCCAACATGAGCTGTCAGAGTGTTTACCTTCAACAGTTTCTGAGGCCCATCAGCTGCTCGAACGCTGAGCTTGTGCAGCAACTGAACTGGCAAAAGAAGAAAATGACTTAAGCTGTCTGTTGTTTTGCTGGAGGAACCCTATCCTCTGCCTAGAGCTGAAGTAGACAAAAGTCCATCTTTAGCGTTCCCTTTAAAGCATCATCTAAAGCAGTCCAAAAGAATACTAATCAGTCACTTTGCTGCTAGCTCAGTCTCCTGCAGGCGCTCCCCCCTGTGCTAAGGAACACACAGTTGGACATGGAATTCACAAAAAGACACTTTGGTTTCTTGGCTCTTTTCTCACTTTCACATGTTTAAGGTTGGTCCAACTGTGCACCTCTTCCCAACGTTCCTGCACTCCTAAGCACCTTCCCGCATTACCCTCTGGCTGGTGCGAAGTTTGCATCGCTTACCCATAAGACCACAGAACCGATCAAAAGTTCTCGGGATTCTGGTTTGGGGATTGATTTCAATTAGAACATTCTTCTGGGTATGGATGTAAACCTGCAGGAGACCAGCCCTATTCAGTGGGCTGTCCATAAGCATCAGGAGACTCTGAAGGACAAAAACACACAGTAGTGGAAACAGACAAGGCACATGGGAGATGACTTTTGGAAAAGTTCAGAGTTATGCCCCACGAGTGCAGAAAGAACTTATGCTGAAGCAGAAATAAGTTCATTTGGCTGCGTAACGCTGACCGAAAGCAATCCCATTCCCAACCACACACTAAACGCACAAGCCACAAAGCGCAGCGGGCAGGACCAAACTTGCCCCGTTCAGAGGCACACGCAGACCCGCACACCTGAAGGGCAGCCCCGGCCACCAAACCCCGGTACCTGGTGGGTGATGTCCGGCCGCACCTCCGCGGGGTCCCGGCCGTTCCGCAGCAGCAGCGCCTTGTGCTTGTCACAGTTGAGGAGCTCGAACGTCTTCCCCACCTACGGCCGACCACGGACAGGTGGGCAAAGGCTACCGCAGCCGCCTTCGGCCCGGCCAGACCCCCCCCGCCTCCCGCACCTTCACAGTCTCCAGACTCGCCCCCTCCAGCACCACCAGGAGCCGCCGCTGCCCACGGGGCCGCTTCGCCTCCAGCGAAACATCAGCGGGCACCGCTCCCTCCCCATCGTTTTCCTCCTCACGCTGCCGCCGAGGCGCTGCCATCTTGTTCACGGCCGCATGCGCGGCACCAAGCGCACCGCGCCAGCCCCGCCCTCAGGCCGCCCACCCAAGATGGCTCCGGGGGCGCGCCCCTAATGTGGCTCCGGCCGGAAGCACTTCCAGAGCGTGGAGCAGTCTCTCCGGAAGGCGGCGGCGGGACGGAACGAGGCTGTTTCCTCACCGGAGCGCCTTGTCCGACGGCAGCTTCCGGTGTCCTTCCCGGTGGGGCGCGCGGCGCGGCGCGGCCATGGCGCAGAACCTGAAGGACCTGGCGGGGCGGTTGCCGGCCGGGCCGCGCGGCGTCGGTACCGCGCTCAAGCTGCTGCTGGGCGCCGGCGCCCTGGCCTACGGCGTGCGAGAGTCCGTGTTCATCGGTGAGTCGTGCCCCACTGCCCCCGCTCCCGGCAACCCGCCTTCCGCGCTCATCCGTGCCTCTCCGCCCTCTCTCCGCAGTGGAAGGCGGCCAGCGGGCCATCTTCTTCAACCGGATCGGCGGCGTGCAGCAGGACACCATCCTCGCCGAGGGGCTGCACTTCAGGTAGGGCCCGGCTCCCCCGCCCCGAGCGCGGGCCCGCGGGCCCGGCCCCGGTGGGTGCCCGCGCCCTGACACGCCTCCCGCCCCTCGCAGGATCCCCTGGTTCCAGTATCCCATCATCTACGACATTCGGGCCCGGCCGCGGAAGATCTCCTCCCCCACCGGCTCCAAAGGTGAGAGCGGGCCCCGCGGGCAAGCACGGGGACCGGGGAGAGCGGGCAGGAGCCCGGCTGCGGCGCCGGCAGCGCTCATCTCCCCCCCATCTTCAGACTTGCAGATGGTGAACATCTCGCTGCGTGTCCTCACCCGTCCCAACGCTGCGGAGCTGCCCAGCATGTACCAGCGCCTGGGGCTGGACTACGAGGAGCGGGTCCTGCCTTCCATCGTTAACGAGGTGCTCAAGAGCGTGGTGGCCAAGTTTAATGCTTCACAGCTCATCACTCAGAGAGCCCAGGTAAACTTGCACTCAAAAGGCAAAGAAACATCTGAGCTGTGCATATGGGGAACCTTATATAAAGGATAAATGTGTTAGGTTGGTAGGTGGTGTATTTAAATGAAAAAGGCATGGAACTGTATCCCACTTGGAGTTTTGATTCCAGTACAGATGCAAACACTAAAGCTTCTGAGAGGAAAACTGGATTTGTTGGTATATGGAGTGCAGAACTGCGCTATAATGTAGTGGGGGAGGGAGAGCTGATTTACATCATAATCCACACATAAAAGTAGATCTGTCTTTAAAAAAAGCATTACCTGGCTTTTCATGGGTTTTGGAAGAGCTGTCAGAGCGCATCAGTTTTAAAGGACCTGGAAAGTGAAGTGGATGAGCAATTAAAAAAGCAGTAACTTTTCTGTAATGGATGGTACAGAAGGGCAACAAATATTTCTATTTAGAAAAAGGTTAGAGGGTAGCCTGGGGACAGGTTGCAAAATAGAAATATTTAGCTTTAAAAAAGCCTGTATCTGAAAGTTTGTGTTCTCATAATTTGATTGCCAGGGATTCTGAGAATATTCATCACCTGTCGCAGCTGAGGGAGAGAGAAGTTAATAGTCTTCCTTTAAAAGGCTTTAGAGGAGACCTTGCATGAGACTGCTAAAGAGGATAAGTTGTCAGATGAAATATGAAGCATCTCTTAACTAGTTACAAAAACAGAAGCAAAGAGGAGAACTAAGTGTCCAGGTCTTGTTGTGAGAACTGTTCTATAGCAGGGACTCCAGGGTTTTGTGCTAGGCCACATGCTGTGTGCTGAAGTGATTTGTTAACAGTTGTATAAAGAGAATGAGTGGAAAGGGGGAATGTGACAGCAAAGAAACAATGTCTGCAGGGGATTTAGGTTTATCAGAAGCAATGACAACTGTTAAGTATCTGAAACTTCTGAACAAACTGAATTGAGTGCAACCTTGTCATATGTTCATTTGTTAATGTGAAGTTATTTGTTCATTTGTTAATGTGAAGTGATGGATATTGTGGCCCATGGGTATTGACTTTACAGTTATGCACTTGGAGCTCACACAGTGAAGGTTTCTGGCAGCATTTTAGAGCTGTGCTCAGAAACAGCTGCAGCAGAAGTAAAAGCAGATACTAGGCTGGCCCAGCATGTGATACTGCAGCAGCCACTTTTATTGAAGCCAGTGTTTGGTGCAGGACTTGTCAGCCTGCCTGAGATGGATGCTGACAAGTTAAAGGTAGAACCAGTCAAAAATACCTACCAACAACACACTTCCAAAGAGACTGATACAAGTGGAGTACCCACACTGGAGGGGTCGCTACAGTAATGAAGAGAGATGTGATACATAGTTAACAAAAAATGATGTGGGTTTTTTTTCCCCTGCATCTGAATACAGATGTGAGGAGACAGTCGAACTGCCAACAGTGGCAAATGCAAGGTGGACAAGGAAATACTTGTTGCCAAAACATGAAACGTGGAAACTGTGGAACTAGATGTGGTAGGATGTGAAAGCAAAAAACAAACCCAAACCAGAAGATTTATTTTTTCAATATGAACTGTATAGTTAATAATAACTGTAAATAAGATGTGATATACTTTTGCATACATAGCTTTGGCTATGCAGCGACAGATTCAGAGATGGTGTTAATGATAAATAGCCATGGTTCAGGGTTTGTTCTAGGTAATGTCTCTCTCTGTGAATGAGCTGTGAGGAGCAGTTGTGCTTCACTTGTGGGGTGCACAGGAGGGTGAAGCAGCCTGTGTTTGTACTCTTCCTGCTGTATTTGTACTCTTCTTGCTGTATTTGTATTTGTCTTTCAGGTGTCTCTGCTCATTAGGCGAGAACTGACAGAGAGAGCCAAAGACTTCAGCCTCATCCTGGATGATGTGGCTATCACAGAGCTTAGTTTCAGTCGTGAATACACAGCAGCTGTGGAAGCTAAGCAAGTGGGTGAGTTCCATTTATGCCTGAAAAGAGTGGAGTGCTGCCTTTGCCCTTCCTCTGAACTGGTGAACAAGGAAGCAGAATTTGGGCTAAAGGAATCAGAATTTGGGCTGGCATGTCTCTGCTTCTGCATTGATACAGCTACAGAATGATCAATCCCAGCCTCTTTTATAAATGCTGTCAGAAAACTCTGGGCTATAGCCAGTGGGATAGACCATCAGAGGGACCGAGCTCCCAAGATCAGGCTTCCTCTTCAGACTGGGACTCACCACTTACTGTGGGGATTATGTGTAGAGGGTCTGGATGCTTCTGGCTTTATCTAAGAAAAAAACTAAAGGACACTCAAATGCATTTCACAGTTGCAGATCTGGCCCCAGAATGCCATCAGTGCTTCTGGAAGCAGAGGCCCCAGGCCTCAGCTCCAGGGTTCCAGTTCTGGTGAAGGGTTCCAAAGATGGAATCCATTTCCAGTGCTTTTGGCCATTCTCTTTGCAGCCCAGCAGGAGGCACAGCGTGCACAGTTTCTGGTGGAGAAGGCCAAGCAGGAGCAGAAGCAGAAGATTGTTCAAGCTGAAGGGGAAGCTACAGCTGCCAAGATGATATCCTGCTTTGGGAGATTTTGTGGGATGTGGCTTATGAGCTTGACACAGTCTGTCACATCGGGTCCATGCTTAGGAGACTGTTACAAGATGATAGCTTCAAGTAGGTCACAATTTATCATCCTCACCCCACAGCTGGCTGTAGTTTGATTTGTCTGAGCTTACAGGTCAGACCAGAGAAGGCCATGAGCCTTCTCCCTGTTGTAAGGTTTAGCTTCTATTGGCTGTGTGTGACCATAATCCATAATGTTGTTATTGATTTGAGAAGTAGAAATATGCCTGCCCGGAGGTCCGTGTTAGATGGAGATTACTTTCCACCCTAAGATGTTTCTAGGAAGAATTCCTTGAGGGTATGTGGCTTTTGTTAGGATTTTCCTTAACTTTGGCTCTGCTGTACCTGGGGGAAGCTCTCAGCAGGAATCCAGGCTACATCAAGCTACGTAAGATCCGAGCTGCTCAAAACATCTCAAAAACGGTGAGCACAGAATTCCCTTTGTCCTTTTGCAAGTCCCGAAGATGTTCGTTCAGCCCAGTGGCCACATGATGAATTTAAGGCGAATGTGACCTGCCCTGTCCTGATCTCTGTTCCTGTGCAACCCTTCTCTGCTCAAGATTTAGCTTGCAATGATCGGCAGTTAGAGGTGAGGCCAGGAGCTCACGCCCTCCGTATGACAAGGCCAGATCCACATCAGATTCCATCACCCACCCTCAGCTGCAGCCACCAAAAGCTCCTGGTTTCCTGCAGGCTGAGAAAGGGGAACAAATAAGTGTGGGATCAAAGGTCTTTCTGACAGAGAGACAGAATGAGCACTTCTTTCAGAAAGTCTGATGGCACTGGGATAAAGTCCAGAGTTGTTTTGGGGAATTGCATTGATTTAACTGAGGTCTCAAGTGAGTAAATCAAGTGCTGTATCTAGAGGGGGAGAGAAGTTCTTGACTAGTGTTGCATGTGCATTTATACTCTTTGTGCCATCTCTGCCATGGATTTCTTTTTCAGATTGCTGCCTCACAAAACCGTGTCTATCTCACAGCAGATAACTTGGTACTGAACCTACAGGATGAGGGTTTCACCAGGTAAAGGGGCCAGATGGCTGCATTTATCTGCACCCTACTTGTGAAGCTGATCCCAGAGGATACAGCTAAGCAGGGAGCTGTCTGTCTTACTTAAGAAATGACATTTTTGTTGAACTGTTATATCTAATCAATGTACTCTTTGTTTCCCCCCCTTCCCCATTACTGCATCTCCTGACACACAGAGGAAGGTGAGGCACTGTTTCTTTTGGTCCTTTTGTTTGTGTACTTGGAACAGGGGTGTTGATGTTTGCCTAGTGCCTGGGATGTTTCGCCGTGGGCCTTTGTGGCCACGGGACGTTTATTCCATGTCTACCTCAAGTCCCATTAATGATGTGAAGCCTGAAACCTTACTTGCAGGGGCAGGGAGGATATAGTGAGTAACTGGAGCTCTCTGTGTGTCCGATAGGGAACCTTGTATGGGAAAGGCAGGTAGAAATAACTGAGGAGTGTCCCTGTGTAGACAGGGCATCCTGCATGTATGGCAGAGAGGGCTGTAAGAAGGCAATTAGATGGTTGTAGGAATTCTGGTTGAGTTGGGGTAATGGTCCTACGAAAGGTGCTTTTGTTACTCACCAAAAGCTTCCCAACTCCATCGTAGAAAACCCCATTCCCTGCTTTCAGAGCTGGCAGGTGTTTGGTGGCTTTGTGTAACCTGTCCAGTGGTTACGGACAAGGCAGTGCCAGCTGAGCAGCTGAAAACTTACATTTCTTAGAATCAAAAAAGGAAGCCAGAGCTGGTTTCTTTTTGCTGGCATCTCTGATGATTCTTTAGCTCTGACCAGATTGTCTTGCTCATCTGAGAAGGCTCAGGGGGCTTTGCTGGTAGGAACAATGTGGAAGCCCATAACCTTTGGATGTGACACCCCACACTCCCAAGTCTGTAGTGTAGGTCTGGTTCAGCTTTGTTTGTGCTTTCTGGACTAACGACTCTTTTCTGTCTCCTTTCAGTGACAGTCTCCTACCCAAGCAGAAGAAATGAAAGAAACTAAAGCCTCCCAGAACCAGCGGTGCTACCCAGCAGCAGATAGGAGTGAGGAGCTTCAACCTCCCTCCACTGGCATTGTTTGCCCTCACTTTGAAGTTGTTAATCCAGTAGCCAGATCTGGTTCTCGTGCCCCTGCTCCATTTGTGGTGGTCCAGTTAAAGGATTGGGCTCTGCCTCTGGGCAGCTGTGATTCCTTCCTCACCCTACCAGTTAAATATGGGGAGGGGGGAAGAGGGGACTTACTAGGATTAACTCATGTGGATATAGTAATTCACCTCTAATCTTCATTAATCTGTAGATTTTTATAGGTAAAATCAGAATTTTTTCTTTTTTTTTTTTTTTGGCCAAGTGAGGGAGTTCTGCTGCCAAGAGCACCAGGCTTCTTTGATAGTAAATCACATTTCTCTTTCACTCTTGAATCCCAAGAGAACCTGGGCCTGAATTCAGGAAAATGTCATCCATTGGGTGCCTGTTAACTGCTGGAAGGTCTGTTTGTGTCACTGTCTGCTCAGTGATTCATTCAAACATTTGTAACAATTAAACCCCCCCCAAATTTACACTGTGTCCTGGTGTGTTTTGTGTCTGAAAAAGAGGTTATTTTGCGTAAGGGGAGGTAGAAAAAGAACTTCTACTTGGTTGAAGACAGAATTGGGAAGTTGTGGAGAAAGTAGCAAGAGACACAACCTCCTGTTCACTGAGAGATCACAGGGCGAGGAGAGAATGTGGACAATCATGTAGCTGCATGGGCACTGAAGAGCAGAAATCAGCACCTCCCTCTGCTCCCTCTCATGAGGGAAGCGTAGATAGCTGTGAGGACAATCCTCAGCTGCCTCTAACGAAACAAGCCTGGTAAACTCAGCTCTTCCTCTTAAGTCAGGCCTTTCACCATCTTTGTTGCCCTCTTTTAGACACTAATATTTTCATATCTTTATATTGTGGAGCCCAGAAGTGCACGCAGTACTCAAGGTGAGGCTGAAACACTACTGAGTATAGTGGGATCATCACCTTTGACTGATTAACTACTGTACCTAATGCATCCCAGGATAATGATTTCAGTTTTGCCTGACAGGGCACATTTTTGACTGGTAGAGCTTACCATCAACTAAAATGCCCGGATCCCTTTCTGCAGGATTGCACTCTAGCCTCTTGTTCCCCAATTTACATGTCCAGCCAGGATTACACTGTTCAGGTACAGAATCTAGCATTTGTTCTTGTTAAACTCCATGTGGAATATGTGCAGAAGCCTTTGTGTGAGTTTGTCACAGCTGACTTTCTGTGCTCAGACTTACCTGACAACTACCAACGCTCAAGCCTCAAAGCAAGGAGCCACCATAGCTGATTGCAGCTTCTGGTCAGGAGTCTGAAGGCTGCAGAAAAGTGATGAAAATCAAGCTAGAGCCGTTCTTGTAAGTTCTTGCAGAGCTGCAAGTGAAGCCAGGTGAAGCAGCTATACTCAGAGAGAGAAAAAGCTTTTGGGACTCAGCATTCAAAGAACTACAAGTTTATTTACAACCAAAGGAGAAAACATGGCAATCACATCCAATTCGGGTGTATTTACAGCATCCAATCAAATAGAAAAGGGATCATGAGAAGAGGGCCTCTTCATCAGGGGCTGTAGCAACAGGACAAGGGGTGATGGGTTTAAATTTAAATGGGAAGTTCAGGTTAGATACAAGGAAAAAGTTCTTTACTGTGAGGGTGGTGAGGCACAGGCACAGGTTGGCCAGAGAAGTGGTGAATGCTCCATCCCTGGCAGTGTTCAAGGCCAGGCTGGATGGGGCTTGGAGCAACCTGGATTCGTGGAAGGTGTCCCTGCCCATGGCAGGGGTTAAGAACTGGATGACTTTAAGGTCCTTTCCAACCCAACCCACTCAATGATTCTATAGGGCAGAGGGTTGGTATTAAGGAGAAAGGAAGTTTCCTGTTGAACTGTAGAGTTGTAGAGAGGCCAAACCCTCTATACTTTAAAAGCTGAGGCTTCAGGGAACACTACTAACAGGCTAAATTCTAACTCACAGAGATGTAGCTCCTGTAAAAAGCTTCCTTCACCCTTCTTCAAGTTCACTGGAGCTGACCCAGCAGAGGTGAGCTTGGGCCCCAGTGCTCAGCAAGGGGAAGAAGGGGCCTTATTAACGTTGCTGAAGGATGAAGGGGCAGCAGGAGACACTGCTGGCCTGCACAGGCAAGGGATGAGGAAGTCAGTCAGCTGAGCTGGAAAGCAGTCTGGTTCAGGGCTGGAAGGTGGGATGGAAAACAAGGAAAAGACCTAATTTCAGTCCAAGGGTGAGGAATGCAAGACAGCCCAGCCTGGATGTGAGCTCCAGCCCTGCACCCCTGGTTCAAACCCCCCAGGGGGCTACCTGCAACCTATTTTTTCTTCAGCGAGCCTTTCAGCTTTTTCTCCAAGGAGTGCTGCTTCTGTGCCTTCTCCTTCTTCCCCAGGTTCTCATAGACCCTTGACTCCTCTTTCTGCCTGGAAACCAGGGAAAAAGAAGGAGAAAAAGTGAGCAACAGTAAGAAACCTGCCAAGGCAGCAGGGAGACTTTTGTCAGAGGCAGGCCAAGCTGTGCCTCTGCTTTAGGTGAGCTCTTACTTGGAGGGTTTCCGTGAAGCTTTGGCATGCATGTTCCTTGCTGCAGGGGGATAGGTAATGTTCCCATACTCAGACTCTTTTGGCTTCCCTTTCTGAGACTACAGGAGAGAAATACCAAACAGAGAAGAGTGTCATCTGGGGAAAGCAGATGGGGAAAGAAGGGTTCTGGCTGTTTAACCATGCTCCATGCTAGGATCTCAGTGGAGGCTGGTGGATTGCTGAAGGCTTCAGGCTCAGTGCACTCTGCCCACTGCTGTCACAGGGGGCTGCAAATGCATCCTTGTAACAGGGGCAACCAATATCACTGGAACACCTGAGAGTGCCACATGTCAGCCAAAGAATATGAAACAGCAGCAGCTACTGGATGCTGCTAGAGGCTACAAAGAGAGATAAAAGATGCCACTTATCAGGTAGCAGGAGAAAATCCTGCAACTGCAGAACCAGCACAGGAAAGACAAAGACGAAAGGACAGGGCAAAGTCTTGTAATCAGATAATGCTTGGTGGAGGTGTTATGTAGAACATAGCTGAAATAACTGCATTAAAACTGTCTAGTAGTTCAGAAGGGGTTGGTATTCGAGCTGCTAATGTTGTGCTCTGAATTTCAAGACAGGAACAGGCACTCAGACCTGGGTGCAGCATCATAGTCTGTGTAGGTCCCAGTGCTAGCCTGGAAACAGAACACTCCATCCCAGACCTCAGCTCACAGGACAGGAAAGCAGAGTCCCCTTTCTCACCTGGATAACTTCCAGCTTTTTCTTGGTTGTCTCTATGAACTGGCAGATAGCCATATAGATGAACTTGTACTGGGCCTCTGTCTGCACCATGCCTGAGCGCTGGGCCCTCACCATCTGGATAGTCTTCTGGATGTCAATGTCACAGTCCAGCCCTAGCAGGAGATATCAGGAAAGCTTATGGACATGTCCACTGGCCCCTCTCCCAGCTCTCCACCAAAAGCAGTCTCAGTGGAGGTCAGTCAAGAAGTTTCCACCTCCCTCCATACTCTTTACTCCTGTATGGGCCTCCTATCCCTCCTTCCTGCTCAGCATTTTTCAAGTCTGGCCCTGGAGAAAGAGCCCAAGCTCAGGAAAAGCTGAAGTAAGTGGGTATGGTGCAGAGATCCAGCAGCTGCCACACAGCAAAGACAGTGCAACCTGCTTAGGGCTGTGGCAGGATCTCTTCCACTGATACCTGATGGTTTTCATCCATTTGCAGCTGGACTTAAGGGCACAGCCCTACTGGGTAGGCCAGCTCACTTCAAGATACTCTGGGGTCCTCTTACCCTTGGTGGAGATTGTTTCCACTATCATATCAATGATGATGATAGTCCCAGTGCGGCCAATCCCAGCACTGCAAGGAGAGGACAAGCAGAAGTCAGAGCAATACAGCTCCTGAAACAAAATGCAGCTGCTTCTGGGGAAGGACACAGCACTTGTAGAAGCTGTTCAGCAATGCCACAGAGTCACAGATTCAACAGGCAGAATTTGGTTTGGGGGCATCAAAGAGGACAAAGTAAGTATCAGAGCTGGCACATTCTTCATTCACAAGTCCTGGGAACAGCTGGTGGAGCAGGAGAGACTTTCTATACCTCACCCTAGAGAAGGGATGGAGAATGCTTCAAACCCTACTAACCTGCAATGCACCAGAATAGGCCCCGCATCAGGGATGCTCTCTTGCTTCTGGTTGATTTGGTCAAGGAAGCTGAGCACTCCTCCTGGATCGCTGGGTACGCCGTGGTCAGGCCAGCTCAGGTACTGGTAGTGCCAGATCTCACGCACAGCCTTACCCTGATAATAACAAGACACCCCACTGGTAAAACTGCAATCCAGTCCTATCCTTGGCCTCTGTCCCAGCAAGAGGTGGGTCTGAAGCCAGAAGGGATCTCTGTCTCCTGTGCGTTTCTTGGCCACTCCACCAGCTCAAAACAGGTGGGAACAGCCACCCAATGATGACTCAGCATCACCACCAGCAGTTCCCAGCCTTAGACAGACAGTGACTGTCAGACCCCCTGGTTCAATGGCAGCCCTCTACCAGGTATACTCACGTTGTCTTTTGGACACACACAGAGGTAACGGAGTTTGTACTCCAATGCATCATGCTCCCCAGTGTTCTCCACGAGGTAGGGACCATATTCCTTCATGCTGCCCACCTCTGGCCAGTAAGGCACACATTTGTTCTGTGTAGGCAGAGAGGGTAGGGTGAGGACGGGCACAAAGCAGGAAAGAGAGAAGATGCAGAGCAATGGCTGAAGGAGAAGAAGGGGCAGCTCTGAGACACCACAAGCCACTGCTTACCCGTCCTTTTTCTACCTCCCGTGTAGTCATCACGATAGTGCGTGTGTTCTCCTGCCACACCATTTGCCAGAAGTCATTGACTGTGGCATCCAGGCAGCCCTGGCTGGCAATGTAGGTCTTGGTGCACTCATCTGGGCCGGCCAGGTGGTTCTGAGTGTGGACAAAGGAAGATCGGAGGGCTGCAGGACCAAGAGGCCTTCCCCCATTCTGGGCATGCAGGCATCTTTCAAGAGTCTCACCTTGATATAGTTGGCATTGATATAGTCAGATCCAGGTATATTTGGGTCCCTTCCTTGGAGAATGACTCTGGAATGATCAACTGGGGATGCAGTGGGAAAACAAGCAGAGCACTGAGATGCTCCGATTCTCAGAGCCACGTGAAGCTTTGTCATTACCCCTCTCATCCATACTACCCTGTGCATGCAGCATGCCTCTTATTTTCACCTCTCCTTCTCTCACCCTGTCCTCTCAGCTCTCTACCCCTATTATGGCCCATTGGAAGCTAATGCAACCCAACGATGCAACCCTCCCTCCTTCCTTCAAAGACATGAAAAGGCTGTGACCTCTCCCATCAGCTCTTACATCCTCAGTGCACACCTTTAAACCTGCTCTGAAGGCTAGAGCAGGCTGAGACAGAGCCAGGGATGACTCAGGCAGCTCTTCACTGCCTGTGTCTGTTTTGGGATTTTTATGGTGGAAAAGCAAGACTCACAGGGCAAGATGTTCTTGTATCGGTTCTTGCTCTTGTTTTCAGGTCTCTGACCCTCGTGGCGGTCAAACAGCTGCTTGGCTTCCTGTTTTTGCAGGCTCTGAGAGTAGAAAGAACAGTCATGGCAAGGTCACAGTGTATGACAAAGGAGGTGGGCACTCACAGGAACAGTGGTGACTCTGGGACACATGGACGGGCTTGTGGGAGAGCAGAGAAGAGAAAAGGAAACCTAGACCTGGAAAGTCCAAGGCTCGAGCCCTTGCTGTCTTGGTAACTTCCAACCATGAAAAGCACATTTCTGCCTCTCTGGGTTTAGCTTAAAGGTGACCCAGAGGAACAGGTTCCAGAGACTTCTTTCAAGAGATGAATTGTCAAGAATTGACAAGACACCAGAGAAGTTTGTGTCCAGGAAGAAATCCAGGATGGAGAATAAAGGTGGTGCACAGGGACTTCCCAAAAGGCCAGAATCATGTCCCCCAGCAGTTTCTTACATCAAACTCCTCCCAGAACCCAGCCTTGGATGCCTCCTCAGATAGACTCTTCTTGTTCAGTTCCTGCACTCTATTCTCAATGTCAGCAGCATTCACCCTCGTAGCATAGTAGGGCTGGGGAAGGGAAAACACAATGGGTTGGCATGAGAGAGAAGCTGCTGGAGAGCAAAGTCTCCTCTGTGTGCTGTGGAGAAAAGGAGGAGGACACAAAGCAGAAACAAACAGCAAGTGGGTCCTTCCAAAGGATCCCTGAGAAACAGAGGAAACAGGATTTACCTGCTTCAGGTACACAAAGGAGCCAGACACCTCTTCAATTCCAGTCTTCTTGAAGTGCTCCACCAGATCTGCCAAGCTGTCAAACGTTTCAGCATCTCCAACTGTGTAGCGTCCGTTCTAAATAGAAGAAGGATGTGTAATAGCCCACTCACAACCCCATATAGAGAAAGCTGATACTGCTCAAGGGTTCAAAGCCATAGGCACTACCCTGTGCCATCCAGAAAAGCATCCTCCCTCCGGCAGGGAGGTCAAATGGCAGAGAACACTAAGTTCACAGCATGGTGAACTGCCTCCTGTTCTCAGTGGATGGAAGCCCGCAGAAGGAGTATTGCTCTCAGCTCCCATTTAAGGTCACTTGTCATTGAAATCTCCCTCCACTATCTGCACCATCCCACATGAAAGAAATAGAACTGGGGCCAGCCAGGTTGGTCACATCCTTCAGACCAAGCGTGAAGGCCTTGCAGATGCTCCTCCTCCAAGAGCTTTGAACTCTTCTGATTAATTCAGACTTAAATTGTGAATCCTCCTCTGTCTTTCACCACAGACTCCTTGTACCGGAGTTCTCAGTCACACTGAGCCCTGAGCACCCAGCCCATAGTCACCCAGACTGGGGTGAGGACACAAAGAACCTGTTTTCAGGATCCAGTCTCAGGAACACTGCTGCTAGTAACCAAGCTGTCAGAGCCCATGCTTTCGAGGACACAACCAGCAGGGATCGGCAGGGATCTTCCATTCCCTTTCTTTTTCCTCTCCCAACTGCTCACCTCACACATGATCTTGATGTGTGTGACTTTGAGCCAGGCTCCTGCAGCACTGGTTGCCCCAGCTGGTGGAGCATCAGAGCCAGGTTTAAGCTGGTCAGTGAGGACAGACAAGACAAAATCCCCAGGTTTGCTGAGGCTCTCCCGCACCAAAAAGGTCCAAGGGGTGGCTTTGGCCTGGAGAAGCGACTCAGCTGCAGAGCCTGACAGATGGCCATGGTACCATCTAGGAGAAACAAGAAGGGGGAGATGCAGGTAAGTGCTCTTGAGTTGATGAATGAAGGACAGCAGTGCTGGGGAAGGGTGAGAGAAAAGGAAGGAAAGGGGAGAGAGAGGGGAAGGAAAGAGATAGGGAAGAAAACCAGGGGAGGAGCAGGATCTTGGGACCCAGGGAGCAGAATGCTGGTACCAGAGGACAGAGTGGGAAAGCACCAACTGTGATCCAGTTGTGTGATACATGCAAGCACAGGTAAGCAACACTTGCTGGCTTGAAGACCAGCTGGGAGAGGGTAGTTTCAGCAGCCCCCAGCACTACTGGCATTCTTGCCTTACTGCTGCAAGGTGCTTTGGAAGCTCAAGCACCAAAGTCAGAAACTCTCCCATAGGATTTGGCAGTATCCAGATGGTTATGTGGAGATCAGATCCATTAAAGAGCCACCCCAGCAGCCCCTCTTTCTGAAACTCAGTCACCTCTTCAATCAAAGGATAATTCCCATTCCCTGGGCACACTACACCGCAGCAATCAGCCTAGCCATGGGATTGGACACCAGGAGCCACCTAAAGCCCATATTCTGCTCCGGGTACTTATCACTGTTGTTGATCCATGTCCTTGGTGCAAACATCCAGTCTGCAGGTCTTTCTCTCAGCACAAGTTGAGGAGCATCCCTCATTGACCAATGGGCTCTCTGCCTTGCTGCAGGAGTGTCCCCGGGTGAAGAGGGATACAAACATGGTGCAAACAGCACCACTGCTGCCAAGCTCCTTCCGCCCCCTACAAAGCTCTCAGGGCAGTGTGTGTGCCAGGTGGGATCCCATTGCACTGTGTGGTGTGGGGGGAAGTGACAGGCACCAGAAGCAGGCTGGGAGGTCAAGTCATCTCTGTGCAGATCCTCTGTTTCCTCACGCCTGTCCCAGGCTTCACAGTCTCCCTGGACCACACCAGAAGGTCTGGGGGGGCACTTCTGAGTTGACAAGTAGAGATGCAGAAGGCCACGGTAACTGCAGGTCTGTCCTGCTTCCACAAATCTTGCTTGGAAGCTGGAGCTAAAGATACAGACTACAGAAAGCCAAGAGCTGCAAGGTGCTCTGGACACTGGGAAACGCTCTGGATCATCCCACTTCTCCATTACCCATTTTCTGGTGGAGCCTCTACTGGGTCTGACACATAGAATCATAGAATGGGTTGGGCTGGAAGGAACCTTCAAGATCATCCAGTTCCAGCATGTCTCAGCCCAAGGGTCACCACAGCTCTGCTGCTCCTGCCCTGGCCCCTTCACTCCCTCCCAGTTCAGTGTCAGGGAGGGGATTGGGGCACTTCTCCTCCAGCAGGGATGGGTCCTGGGCTGGAGATAAAGCTGCTGAGTTTGGCCATTTTCCCTGGTGAGCAGCGTTTCCAAAGCAGGCATCTGATGCATCGGACTGACTTGTAATGCTCCTCCCTGCTCCTGCTCCTTGCACGTACCACAAGCATCAGTGATGCTCCGTGCATCACTGCATGCACTGCCATCTAGGCCAGGCTGATGCTCCCAGAGCTGTGTGAGCAGGTTTGATGCCCACGGAACAGCTAACAGTGGAGGTCTAGAGCAATACTGGTTTCTATGGTGAGCTACAAATTAAGCTATCTGTCCCCAAGAACTGAAACGGAGCCCAGGAGGCTCAAGTCACAGAAGCAGCTGTGGCATTCATTCACCCCAGCATCTGGCCAGAGCAACACATTCCTCTACACAACCTCTAGGAATCATTTTGACAGCAATACGTGGCAGACAGTTACTATGCCTGGGCAAGTAATTCCTGTTTGATCCTCACTTCATGCACTGCAAGGAGCAATGACATTCACTGCATGGCAGCTGTTAACTCTTGAACCTCCTCCCAAAGAAGCATTCAGCCACCATGTGCAGTGCTCAGATGCTCCCCAGGGAATGATTGACCCCTCCTGCCCATCAGAGAGGTCTCCAGGCCTCCCCTCCTCAGGTAGGAAGGGGTTAATGGCTCCCAGTTAAGCCCAACTCTTCAAAGCCACGTGATGGAAAATCACTTGGGGAGAGAGTGAGAGGAGCTTTCGTAAGAGCCTTGCGGGCAGGGAGAAGTTTCCAACCGCAGAGAGGAAGGGAGGAAACTGCAGGGCCACAACCCAACGGCCCTGAGTGGAGAGGACAGCTGGCAGACAGATGCTGGCCCCTCTGCAGACCCATCCACAGAGCAAGCGGGGGCATACACAGGCGCTTTGCCCAGGGAATCTTTGTCCTGTTTCCAGGACCCAGCCACCCCAGAGCACCGTGTGAACTGCTCCCCAGCCTGCATCAAAGAGCCTGAAGACACAGCAGCAAGAGCAAACCCACCTGATTCGATTTAGGAACTTGGTGTCAGAGGGATATGCAAAGTGGAGAGAGGAAAGAGACTAAGCAGGCTAGGAACAGCTGGGGAACATGGTCCTGCTCTCAGCTACGCAAGTCACTCAGGCCTGGAGTAACCAAGGAGGTCTGCGGCAAGGCTGAGGGCTTCCGCATAATATGTAACTCTACAGGCTGCTGCAGACCCATAGCTCACACCATAAACCTTTGCTTTTAGGAACAGTATATAAATAGCAAAGGCAACAGGAAACCAGAAGCAAAAGTAAAGCCCTCTTAGGTCTGTTGTGATGGGTCAAGTTATAGTCAGCTATTGCTGGAGATGCTGCCCCTGTGGAAACATAAGGAGGCTACAAGAAGCAGGAAATACTTTTTGCAGGGTTTGCCCTGGGGATACAGGCAGGGCAGAAAGACAGACCTGAAGCACAGAGGAGGTCTCATCACAGACACATTGGCTGCTTTCCTTTCTCCATACCTCTCCGTAGTAGGGTCAGAACAGTTAAGCGGGTATCGCAAGTCAATGATGGTTCCATCTTTGTCCTGCAGTGAGCCCTGTTGCTGCGTGTAGTACTCCACCAGTTCTGACAAGGTGGCAAACTTCTCCCCTCCATACAGGTCATAGAAATCCCCGGTGTTCTGGATGCGGATGTGAGTTACCTGATCACCAACCCTATGGGATGATGCACAGTGAGGTGGTTGCAAAAGAGGCATAAAATGTTCTGTGTTACCTTCTGCCACAGAGCCAGAGCAAATAGACCCAATGAAAGGAGGCAAAAGAGAAACTCCTGGGGCAACTCCCAGGGTCTAGAAGATCCTGGGAAGCCCAGGTCCTTTGGAAAGAACTCAAAGGAATAAGGACAGAATGAAAACGATGCCACAGGATGTGTGAGGATCGAAGCATCCTGTGTATGTAACCCTGGAAAGACAGCAGCTGTGGTCCAAGTTACTTACCGGACTGAAAGAGAAAAATCCCCCTGATTCTTCCGACTGGGTCTGGCCAGAAAGCTCCCATGGACACCTCGTCCCTTCAGTAAGGCTTCAGCTTCCAGCCCACTCAGGTCACGGTGAAACCACCTACCAGAGGAGGTGGAAACAAGACCAAGTGAATAAAAATGACTAGGCACTATTACAGAGACTTGTACAGCAAAGCATGGCCCCAGTCAGCACCCCTAGAGATACCCATGAGGATGATGGCAGCATCCCTTTCTACCTGACACCTCCCTCACACTATGAAAGGTTTCCACTGAGATACAACTTCCAGGATGATTGATCCCCCCAGTCTGTCCTACTTCCCTGGTTCCCCCTCTTTACACACACACATTTCTCAGTCCCTCTTACCTCACCATCGTGGAGAGCCGATGAAGAAGGGGACAAGCGTCTACAACCAAGGCAACTCAAAAAACACAGAGGAGAACTCTGTTTGTGCTGGTGAGAAACGGGAAGTTGGAGGTCTGCGCTGGAGCACCCAACACCACGCTGGTTCTGCGCCTCTCAGGAGCTGGCCGTGCATCTCTCCTGGTGTCTACCATCAGTCCATTCTGACCCTCTCCATCCACCTGCGTCTCGATCGGTGCCTTGATCTCTGGCCCTCTGCACAGTGCTGTGGGGCACAGGCAGGTGCGAGCCTGCGCGCAGCTTGGCACGCGCGGCTCCAGGGACAGGAAGCGCTCTGAGCCATCACCTCCCCAGCCCCAAGCTGCTTTGCACACACTTCTGCTTCTCCTTTTGTGTCTTTCCTCCCCCCATCCCCTGTTACTCTCTGGTTCCCTGTCTTCTTTCACATCAGGACTGACTCTACAAGTGCATCTTGGGTCCCGGCTGCACGTTCTCTGGTCCCCTTCTTCCCCAGAAGGCCAATGACAGGCATGAGTGCTCCCCACCTCCAAGCCCTTGCCATGGTGCCAAGCTGCCTGAGGTCACTCACATGCCTGCAAGGCTGAAGCAAGCAGTACATGGTGACATACACTGAGCAATGAGGTACCCCACTGCAGGTTACGTCTGCCCAGCTACACAGCTTGGCTCTGCTGGGCTGCCCTCATCTACCTACCTGAAACCTCCATACTCTATTTCACTGATGAACTCTCTGGGCAGTTAAATGTTCAATGTGCCCTGTACAGCCACAGGAGGAAATCTGTGCAAACACAGATGCTGAGGTGCAGGCAAGCATTTTGAGCACAGCTCTGCCTTCTCAAAACAGCCTGTTGGAGGATGTGACTGATGTGAGCAGTGCTAGCTCAAAAGGGATGGGGTGGGAGGTAGCCTTAAAGCTGCCCAGAGAAGAAGGCAGACACCAGAACAAATAGCTACTACCTACAGTGTGCCCATTCAACAGCAAGTTTGCTTAGCCTAGGACCTTCAAGATCCCAGTGTAGCATACTGAAGCCAACCTGGACAGTTGTCAAAACACAAGAAGTTGTCAAGACACAAAGAAGGAAAACTACCCATTTCCAGTTACCTAGCAGCCATTTCCAACCATAGCCCATGACTGCTCTTTTCGATAGCACTGGTTTCAAGGTCTGCAGATCTCAAGAAAGAATGGGAGTTAAGCAGTGGCCAAAGAGGGAAATCCAGCTTGCAAAGGAGCCTGGCTTTTAACTGGGGCCACTGTGGCTACCCTGTGTGGTGGTGTGGGCAGGAGGAACAGCAAGAGATGTGCTCATCTCAACCAGCAGCCTTCCCTGCACCCCACCAGAATGGGAAACTGAACAGGCTGCTAGCAAGGATTGAGACAAAGCTCGTGGCCAAGACAGGAACTAACAACAAAGGGAAGTACAGGGGAGACGAGTGGGAAGCTAAACCTTATTGCTAGAAAGGCAACCCAGTCACCTACAGGAGCTTCCTTTGAAATGCTTCTATTTTCACACACATGATGGATCGGGGTGTGGGGAGCTGCAGGGATCCAGCTGTCCTGACTTAAATCCGATAGTAAAAACAAGGAGAGTTTAAAGGCTTAGAGACCTGTGGCTCTTGGGAACAACCTCTACGCAGAAGTGTAGAAGCTGCACCTAAAAGACTGCAGCTAAGTCAGAGCCACTCTAAGCACTGACACAGGAAAGAAATATTGTTTAGTTAGGAAAGAAATGACAGAAATCCCAGAAGAGAATTCCTGATATCAAAAGATTATGTGGGATCAATATGAAGCCATGGCAGACAAAAACTAAAACCTAGACATCCCTACATCTTATGAACTGGCTGAAGGAAAAAAGTTGTCTGAGGAAAAGAACATCAGTGGGACACAGAGGAAGAGGGAAAGAACAAGGTAGCAAAGAGCCCAGATTAACAGGGTAAGAGATTTCAGCAAAGAGACTGCTCCTATGCTGCTGTTTCAGTACAGCACAGGTGGTAGAACCTCATCTTGTAAAATCTTAATGGAGCCAAGCCACAGCTAGCAAAGGAGCAAAGGAGAAGATAAATGAAATAACCAATTAAAAGATACACACATCTGGACTGCTGTAAAAGAAAGGACACTGAGAAACTGGACAGAATCCAGTATAAGGCCACTAAGGCAGTGAAGAACATGGAACTCAGCAAAGACAGAGGAAGATGGGCTTGTTCAGCTTGGAGAAAAGATGCTTGAGGAGAGATTTAACAGCTGCCTGAGACTACCTAAAAGGGGACTTGTGGGGTTTACAAAGAATAAACCAGATTCTTCTTTGTGGGACACGTTAAAAGGTCAAGAGGCACCAGGCACAGCTTGCAGCAACGGAAATTCTGATTAGATGTGGAGAAAAGCTACACACATGCTCCCCCCCCCAAGGGTGGTTCAGCAATTGCCACAGGTGCCCAGGGAAGCTGAGGAACCTCCACTCTTGAAGATGTTCAGAACTCCCCTGAACAAGGCTCTGAGCAATCCGATACAGCTTTGGGGTTAGCTCTGCTGTGAGCAGGGCATTGGAGTAGATGATCCAGAGGCCAAAGTGGTTATCAAAGGAGGAGGAGAGGAAGAGGTTATGTATAGAGTTTCCTTTCCCTCTCTATTCCCTAAACCTCCATTTGCAGCTACTTGTAGAGTCAACCCTCAAATCCATAACAAATTTAGCATCCTTCGGCAAGGAGTTCCAGGGCCCACCTACAGAAACACTCCCTCCTTTGGCTTGCTTATAACCTGCTCCCTGCCTCATTTTTATTAATGTCTGGTTATTGTAAGAAAGAAAAATCACTGACTGATTCCTGACCCCTATTCACCCCATCCAAACTGCTCATTACACTGACCTGTAACATCCATATCCTTCCTCAGCGTTTTGCTGGGCTGAAAACTCTGACTGTTCTATACCTCTGATCATTCTTGCTGTCCCTTTCTGAGATGTTTCCAAGACTGGTGTGTTGTTTTGGAGATGAGAGTGAAAGATGGCACAGAACTGCAGCGTTCCAAGATGCTGGTGAGTCACAGACAGTGGGGATTTCTGCTAATTCTTCACCACTACCAAGCATTAAGCCAGCAATTACACATGCTTATGTATGACCACAGGCTTACTCCAGAGAGGTTATGATTAGTTCACAGTTCATTGGTTTAGATGTAAATGTTGAATTCTTTTTCTGCATGAACATTGTTTTACATATGCCTATATGGGATTCCGGCTGCTCTTCTAATGCCCACTCGTTCACTATCATAAGGTCCTTCTGCAATTATTCAGTCAGCTCCCACCCTATTATCCTGAATAACTCTCTACCACCAGTCAGTTTTCTCACCTCACCAAGCTCTATTTGGGAATATACTGAATAGCAGAGACTCCCAGTTAAGCCTGTGATTCGACCACTGATGACTTCCCTTTGCTGTAAGAACCGAATGCTTATTCCCACCTTCCAGTTCTTATTTTCTACTAATTCTTCACCCATGAAAATCTTCATCTTCTTTCTTATGCCACAACTCTAGCTTTAGTTAAAGACTTGGATGAAAAAATCTTGTCAACTGATTTTTTGGAGCTCCAAGGAATCTGTCTCAACCAGACCTGCCTTATCCACAAAACTGGAGTTTTACAAAAAAGTTATCTTTCCAAAAGCAGATGCCGACTCTTTCTTTAATATCACACTCACTCACTTCTCCAGTCTACTCTCTACCCTCTTGCCCAGATACCAACTTGGTTGCTCTGTGCTTCCCTGCACCCTAGGGATCTCATTTGGAGACCTTTTTGAGCACCAGCATCACATTTGATACTTCAAATCCTCACCACTGAGATGATTTTAGTCAGGAGGTTTTGCTGTTCTGTACAGAACTGCATCCTAGCTCAGCTGTTGGCGCAGAGGGAAGGCCATCTGGGCTTGGGGATGGGCAGATGAAACACGGGACCCCAGGACCACCGTAGTTTCCCAGACTCTTACCGTAGAGTAGTAAATCCCATTTCTGTACATCATGCCACTACAGTTTCCAGAGCAGAGCAACTGGTTGGAACTGACCTGATGATTTTATGTCCTGCTGTTCTATGAAGGACTTGAGAGACTGTAGTAAATCAAGCAATAACCACCTCCTGCCCTGTCTCTGTATGGGGACACTCAGAGACACTGGCAGAAAACCTGTAGCAAATGGTGCATCACAAATCTGCTTGCTTTTTATCAAAGTGAAAGTGCTGTTTTACTTTGATAAAAAGCAAGAAACCGTAACAGCAGTAAGAATCTAAACCATTCTCAATTCCAGTCCTCCAGCTACTCCGAAGCTCCTATCAGAAGGTGAGTTCTGCCCACTTCCTACTGCCAGTATTTGTGGTTTTCTCCCCAACAAGTCCTGTTTGCTTCCCCTGAGGAGCATTCACAGCACTCACCCACAGGATGCCATCAGGATCTTGACTCACAGATCCCCTCTGCCGGAGGACTGACAGCAGCTGGTGGAGAAAATACCACAGCTCTTAACCAGGGGGTCCTACTAAAGAAAATAAAGCAGTATTGGAATGAGCAAGTCAGTATCTTGAGACAGACTTGGGGGAGAGACCACAGACCCTGACAGAGAAGGATGGAATTGCAGCCTCCCCAAGGGGCTGGATGCTCCTGCGTTGAGTGCCACAGAGCGGCCGGGGGCTGCACCACCTCCTGTGACTCACCTGTGTCCGACCCCGCAGTCCCGAACTCCGCCTGTTCCTGGGCGGACTGAGGAGAAGGCAACTCTAGGTCAGCCAAACCGCAGAGGGCTTAATTCTCACCTTTTGGAAAGCACTTCCTGGGGTGTAGTTAATGAGTAATTAGGGAGGTGGAGGAAGGCCAAGGCGGGAGAGGTAGATGGAGTCGGAAGAGACCGACTGCGCTTCCTGCCTCCTATCCACTGAGCTCACGCCCTTGCTGTCTACATTCCTGCCTGGTTTGTAACTGGAAGGCAGAACCGGAGACAGCTTTCTCACACCTGGCTCGCAGCTACCTGTTCTCTCAGGCCCGGCTTCATCACCCCCAGCCCTGCCATGATGGCCCACATCACCCTCCCCAAAGACCTCAACGCTTCCAAGGGCAACAGGCTCATGAGGCTACAAGCAGAAGCATCTGATGTCCCTCCATTTGGACCAAGTCCGATAAACCAAACACCGCCATGGAGCAAGGCTGCCCTGCTAGTTTTGTCTCTCTTCAGTTCCGTAAGACATGGGATGCGATTTGATGTTGTTTGCATTGCTCTAATCCAGGCTGCAGCCAAACTGGGCACAGTCCTCCCACACCACTCCCCCTGCTGCTTTTTTCATTAGGGCTGGTATGTCTGATAGCACATTCAGCTGTGAAACAATGCAGCCAGTGGGTAGAGGTGGTAGGAATGAGTTACCTGCACCCACCCTGCTGACGACAAGGGACTCAGAGGCAGTTGCAGCACTTGCTGAACAGCACTAGCTTATGTTTTACAGACACATTAGGTAGTGCATTTCAGATAACACATTTGCAAAGCTTGCTCCAGACAGGGCTTAGCACCGCTGAAACAGAAAATAAAGTCACTTTATTTTATATCACATCAAGTCCCAGGGCTTCACACTAAGACTTTGCTTAAATGATTACCTTTCTGCAGAATTAGGTACAACTAGGCCCCTCAAAGCACTAGCACAGGTTTTGTCAGGCATAAGGCAGGCACTTCTGTAACCACTTCTGCACCAGGGAGAGGCATCCGTGCCTCAAACACACCACTAAGTTTGTGTCCATTCATAAAACAAGGGCAACTTCGAGACATGGTTTATTCAGGAGCAGACACACAAGCAGGCACAAACCGCCCCCTTCCTGTCGGGTCAGCGCCTCCCCCGTTCGACTGCTCCAAAGCAGCCGAGCATCGCGGCCCGCCGGGGCTGGAGGAGAGGTCCCCGGGCTCAGGAGGTGGCCACTCCGCCGGTACCGGCGCCGTGCGGCGGCAGCGTCATGGGCGGCAGGCACATGGCTTTGAGCTTGCCCGACATGCCGGCGATCTCCGGGTCCTGCGACTCGTACGACTTGATCAGCCGGGCGAACTTCAGGACCCCTGCGAGAGAAGGGTTGGGAAGGACGGAGGCGGCCGCCCGTCGGCGGGCCCGGCGCTCCGGGGCACTACCCACCTTCGCCGTCGCTGCTGAAGCCGTAGGCTTTGATCACGTCCTGCTGGATCTGGGTAGCCACAGGCAGGAGGAACTGCAGCATCTTGCCCATGTCGTTACAGGCGTTGTCCCGCGCCTCCTCCATGCGCTGCGCGTTCTCGGGCGCACCGAAGGCCTTGATCACCTCGGCCAGCACCGCTGCGGAAAGCAAGCGCACACTCAACCGCCGCGCAGCGCAACAACAGCGCTCCCGGAGCCTCCTGCGGCCATCACCTACCCTTGGCCTGCTCCGCGCTCAGCGGCGCCGCCGGGACCGGCGCGGACGCCGCCATGGGGCGCTGCGGACCGGCGGCCGCTCCACCCTGACACCGCCCATGCGCGGCCCGGCCCCTCTCCGCTCTGTCATTGCACCGGTGGGGGTGGCTTCCCGCGGGCGGGAAACCTGCTGGACAAATACTAAAAGAGCTGAAATCACTGCGGAGCTCCCCGCTCAGCGCCGCAGCCCACTGGCGCCGACCCGCCCCAAGGCGAGGGTGAGGGCCGCCGGGGCCCGCTCCTCAACACGCCGTCCCTCGCACGGCTCCCCCTTCGGTCCCGCCTGGTTGCCCCGCCCCGCATCGGCGACAACGGCGAAAAGCCGGGCCCGGACTCACCGCCTTGGTCGTATGCAAATATACCGCTTCCCATTGGTGCCGAGCGGCGTAAGCTCCGCCCCCTCCGGCGGAGAGGGCGGGCGGTTGCCATGGCACCCCCTGCCGGCCACGCCTCCGCAGGCTCTTCCCCCGCCGGCCCAGGGCGGTGCTCAGCGGCTCCCCCCCCCGCTCCTCCGGCTGCCATCCCCGGTGCTCACCCCCTGCCTGCAGAGAGCGAGCTTCTGCCCCATGCACGGCTCGCTCCTGGCCCCGGTGAAAATAAATGAACACAACGCAGTCTGTTTCTGCAAGGGTTTTTTTGATCCTTTTTTTCCCCCCCCCTCTTTTTTAAGATCTTCATATAGATATTTATATATATAAATTATTAGAATGCATGTCGGGGCTTGGGAGTGCGTGGGGAACTTTGTTCGGGTGGTTTCTTTTTCTATAGCTGGGTTGTTGGTTGTTTTTTTTCTCTTCCTTTTAATGGTTAATTAAGTAAATATATATATATATGGGGACCAATCAAGAGATACAATTGTGAAATCAGACACGCACGCGGGGATGGGAGGGGGCAAGGGGATCACAAGTTGCTACATAAAACTGCCACGTCTAACAGGATGTGCATGAGTTTTAAAAGTACATCAATTAGAAGGGGTGAGGGGAAAGGGGGCAGCCATCATCTTCAAGACAGTCCCAAGGACGCAGTGTCATTGCTCTGGGCCACATTGGCTCTCCCGATGGGACTTGGGGGGGTCACGGTGGTGACTGTGGTCTGGGAAACAGCCTCCCAGTGCTTTGCACCTTGTGGGGAAGCACAGCCACCACCTCGCAAACAGTCTGCGGTGCTTTGCACCCCGGTGGCTGGGACCGGGCTCTGCATCGGATGGGATGCTGGAGAGCAGGAAGCCACCCCAGCTAATGGGGGAAAGTTCCACATTGCTTTTCCATATCGCTAAGCAGTATCTTACACCTAAAGGGGGGGGTGGGGTGTGAGGAAAAAAGGCTGTTGGGTTGAGTTCCTCCTCGCAGAAGCAGGAAAGGTGGCAGCATCATGCACATGAAGTCCTGCGATGCTCTGCGCTTCTTATTTAATGCAACTGTTCCCCCGAAACAAAGGATGGAGCTGCTGCCACCCTGAATTCATGTCAGTCTTTGTCGCTTTGAGCTCTGTGCAATGCTGATGCCGTTTCCTCCAGAGCTCTGCTGAAATCACGTACCGATCAGTTCATGTCCGTTAAGTGGCGTTTCAGTCCCTCCCCATTTTCTGTCCTCTGCTCTCTGCTCCCAGGATGCCATCCTGTACTGTTCGTCCGTCTTCTCTGGCACTCTGCTGCATGGTGGGATCAGGATGTGTCACTGCAGCTTCCCCTCCCCCAGGATTTGGTTGATTGATTGCTCCTCTTGAGAGAAAGACATGATGATGTCACGCCCGCAGTAGAAGTCCGCTTAAAGGGGTTTGTCACTTTCTTTCTTCAGGTGGCTGGAAGAAAGAAGAGGAACAAGGTGATTGAGAAAAAAGGCAATTCAGCCTCTCCTTCTGCCTTCTGTTAGTCCAGACCTCCACAACACCACTGGCTCGGATGGTTTTTAAAATCCTTGAAGAAGGAGATGCTATTGAAAAGGAACAACCACTGCACATCTCTCTCACTTGTAAAAGCCTCATCTTGGCAAAAGCATCCAACCCTCGCAAATGTTTGGTACTTTGGCAGGGGTTATCAGTTAGTGGGAACTGCGTTAGCATGGGTGCACCATGTCAGTTTATCCCCTCCCCAGAGGGGAGGAGATGAGACCCCACACAAGATTAGCCATGGAACAGCCACTTGCCAAGAATGACCTTCCTGGTGGCCAACCCACTGCTGTGCCCCTGGGGCACGGATCCCTGCTCCTGGGTGTGGGCTCAGGCTCGGTCACTCACTTCAGGGGCAATGCTCCCCTGGGCCCAAAGGTGTTCTGGTGAGGACAGCGCATCCACCCGCCCCACAGTGAGGAGAGAGCAGGTCCATGCACCTGTAGTAATCCTCCTGCGTCGGGAGCGGCACGCCGTGCAGAGGGTGATGCGCGTGGAGCCACTGCTGCTGTTCCAGAGCCAGGCGCTGCAGCTCAGCTGACTGCGCATGCATGGCCTGGAGCTGATGTGCTGCGGACATGGGCGCTGAGAGGGAGCCCGGCAGGTCCCTGTAGGGTGCAGCTGCAGCCAAAGATGAAACAGAAAATAAACAAGTTAGTGTGATGGCTCCTTCCTCATCCATGGCCCCTCAGCTCAGTCAAGACCCTACTGCGCATGCTTTTCCAGCCCTGTTCATGCGCAGGACTTGCTCACCAAATAGTGTAAGCCCGTTCTATGCCATGCCAAGGCTCTGTTTAGTAGACCTCAGTTCGGTCCTGTAATCCTCTCATAACCACCCTGACCCTTGGAGCTCTGCTGAGACTCTTTAGAGGAGACCAGCAGTCCCTGTGAGCATCCCCTACCAAAAAGCTGGTGGCGCAGCACTTCGTTCTCATGTAGAGGGTGAGGCAGGAGAGGGTTTGGGATGGTTCCAGCTGGGTATGGTATCCGGGTCAGGTGTGATCCCGAGGCGAGTGGGTCAATAAGAGGGTGAACAGAGGCTGAGGCTGGGAAGAGAAGATACCACAAGATAATTGTCCCATGCTTTCTAAGAGGCCACACACAGAAAGGTGCAACAAAACAGACATGGAGAGGGTTGGAGTGCATTAGGGATGGAATGATTTCAAGGCTAGAAACACAGTACCGTGTCCTTCTGAATGTTACTCTTTTTAGTGCACTGAATCTCATGTGAACCAGCCTGGCATAGCTCTGTCCCTACACTCCTCAGGGAGAAGTACTGCTTCATAAAGTCAATCCTGCAAGGACCTGCTCTCCAATCACGTCCATACCCAGTACTGTGCCTATCTGCCAGCCTGGCTGTCATTCATGTGCCTCCACAGACTGGGTGCTTCCATTTCCAGATCTCACCCAGCACAGAGGCTCAATGCCAGGCACTCACGTTTGCAAGTGCTTTCTAAGGCTGCGGTGTAAGGTACCACCTACATGAAAACTGCTCTTCCCAGTGTTTTGGACTCACTGCCAGAGTGCTGGTTGGAGGAGCCCAGCTCCAGAGCGTGGGGGGAAGGAGCTTGATTTGCACCTGATGCCATCTCCAAGTAGCTGCAGCTGCTTAGAGTGGGTGTCTGTCAAGTGTCTCTGCCACCAGATCCCACTGACCACTCACAGTACCCACACAGGCATGGCACGTTTCCCTATAGCACTGTAGTTTGGGCTTTGCTTCTCTGAGCTTTTCATCCCTAAACTTCCTTTTATTTTGCTTTCCTGAGGAGGGGAAAACTGAAGGGATCACCACCTCAATTCTGAAGGACATCAGTCTCCAGCTGCTTACAGTTAGTCCACCTTCTGTCCCATCCCATCCCATCACCTGCAGAAAGAGCCACAGGAGCAAACTGGAGAACCAAGATCTCATTAGTCCTAAGGATACTGATGAAACCCACTGTTTAGGAGGGTTCCCACTCCCTCTGCAGACCACAGTGTGAGGGATGCAGTCCGCAGCAGCACCAGCCCCCTGGTAGGCAGAGGGACCCTAGCACTCACATTGCATCCCCAGAGATCCAAAACTAAAGGACATAGCGCAAACAACTCTGCTTGCCTATAAGCAGCAAACTCACAGATGCCCCGACACTTGTAACAGGTATCAACATCTTTGGTGGGACGGGAGCTAGGGCAAAAGTGAATGACCATGATGTTGACCTCTTCTGGCTGAAGTGATGGATCTGGGCCCTGAAAGTCTCTGCAGCTTTTGGGCTTCCCCAGGGCCAGAGGGAGGAAGTGCAAGGAGAGCACAGTAGGAGGAAGAGTGAGGTTTTGTGCAGGGCACCCTCACCATGGTCCTCACCTGCATGTATGGCATCCTGCTGGTGGAGATGGAGGTGGGAATGGATGTGGGAATGCTGATGATGATGAGGTGTCACATTGAGCATCTGCAGCCGGGCCAGAGGGTCATTGCTGAGAGCAGCCACCCGCTCAGCATGCTGGCGCTCAGCTGCCAAGCGCTCGGCATAGGACATGTCGGGACGAAGGGTCGGGCCGGCTGCCAGCGCCAGCCTCTCCCGCTCCAAGTGGCCCAGCCCTGGGTGGAACGGAAAAGCGGGATGAAGGCCGGGAGCTGTCTGCAGACTCAGCCCTCCGTGGCGTGGGAACGGATCCATGGCAGCAGCTGGCACGGCGTGGAGCTGCTCCAACTCGGCTGGCTTGACTTCAAAGCCGGGCTTGAGACGTTCACGCAGGTCCCGGTCCCTCAGGTCTCGTTCACGGGCTTCCCGCTCCCTCAGCTCCCGCTCCCGCGTCGCTGGATCACTGCTGTAGATGGCCGGGACGTTGTACCCCAGCAGGCCCGGGTCGACTGCACCAAGCGGCACATAGAAAGGGTGGTTGCGGTTGCTGGGGGACATGACGTGGGGCCGGGCATATTCGCTGAGGGTGCGCAGAGCCGGGGTGTCAGGACCCAGGTATGGGGGAACAGTCGCTACGGCACTGCCCTGCTCAAAGGAGGGGCGGTGGGGGACCGGCCCCAGGGATGAGCACTCAACCGGCCGGCCCTCCTGGGCCATCTTCTGCAAGAGAGCAGACATCAGCGTCAGGGAGCAGCCGAGGGGGTCCTCAAGCATCGGTAATGGGACCCCCAGACTTACCACGCTCCTCTCCAGCTCCCGCTCCTTCTCCCGCTCCCGCTCCTTCTCCCGCTCCCGCTCCCGTTCCTTCTCTTCCCGCGCCTTCTGCTCAGCCTCTCGCCTCACTTTCTCCACCAAGTCTGCCCTTTTCTTGGCCAACTTGGAGCCATCGAGGGGCACGAAGTACAGATCCGTGCGGGAGCAGGAGTTGAAGCCACGGTCCAGGTGCTTGTTGAATCTAGGGGCAAGAGGCAAAGCCTGTCAGGGCAGAAGCGGCTGGAGGGCAGGAATGGGGACGGGGCAGACAAAACCAAGCCCGAAAGTGTAAGAAAGGGAAGAGCATCACGGAAAAAGCAAAAGGGTGCAGGTGTACCCCACGCTTGGGGCGCCCTCCCTTTCCCTGCCCCATATGTCCCTCCCCAGTGCAGGGACACCTCACCTGGCTGACTGGCTGGCGTGGCTGGGCACATCCACCACCTTGGGAGGCGGCGAGGGGCTGCGAGCCGGCGGCACGGGGCTCTCGGGGGGCTCGTACTCCTCTGACGGCTCCTGCTTGATCTGTGCAGCGCTGAGGGGCAGCGGGGGCGCAGGGGGGGCCGGGGCGGCCATGCTCCCCGGCAGGGCTGCTGGGGCAGAGGGGGCAGGCGAGGGGGCTTTGTAGCCCCCTGCCACGGGGGAGGAAGCCACCCGGTAGCCGGGAGGGGTGGCTGCTCGGAAAGGGGCAGCTGAGGAAGCAGGGGGGGACCCTGGCTTGTAGGGGACCGGGGGCTGGAAGGTGGGGACAGGCGAGGCCGCCCGCTTTCCATAGGGGACCACAGCCGACGGGGGCACCGGGGGTGAGACTGTCTTGTAGGGGGCTGCCGAGGGGGAGGCCATGGTAGCGATGACAGTGGAGAGGGTGGTGGCAGTAGAGGTGACCGGAGGGCCAGCCCCATGGGCAGGGGAGGGGGGTGGCGGCGGGGGGAAGGTGTAGGTGGCAGGACTCTGGCCCGGCGGGTGAGCGCACATGCTGGGATAGCTTCCCTGGGAAGAGGAGGCGGAGGAGGATGAAGAGGAAGAGGAGGAGGATGAGGAGGAGGAAGAGGGGGGTGCAGCGGCAGTGGCTGAGGGAGCCTGGCTGTAGGCAGCCTGGCTGTGGGGAGGGTAGAGGCGCAGCCCATAGGTAGCATGGGAAGGATGATGGCTGTTTGACTCCAATCCATGGGGGTAACCCCCAGGGGCCTGGGGGGGAGCTGCGGCTGCTGGGGAGACCCCCCCACCGCTCCCATGCCCGTGGTGATGCTGCTGGGGGGGCTGCTGGTGATGGGGGGGCTGGCCAGGGAAGGGGGCAGCTGGGTGGGAGCCTGCATTGCCCAAGGGGCGGCTGTAGGGGGGTGGCCCCTGGCTCCAGACGGGCTGGGAGGGCAGGGAGGGCTGGGTGTACTTGGGGGGCTGGCTGGACACAGACAGGCCACTGGGTGGGGGGAAGGAGTGCCCATAGGAAGCACTGTAACTGGGCAGGGGCTGGGCCGGGGAGGGCTGCGGGTACTGAGCTGAGGAGCTCGAGGGTGGCAGCGGTGGGGGGGCATAGGGATAGCGGGAGGGGGCTAGGGCCGGTGCCTTGTCCTGCCCCATGCCGTGGGGCGAAGGAAGGTGGGTGCTCAGGGCCTGCCCCACCATGCCCGGGGAGCTGGAGGCAGCCGCAGCATTGTTGAGCGGGCGCAGGGCTGGGGGAGGAGGCAGATTGGCAGAGACGTGGGGGAAGGAAGGGGCCGAAGCAGGGGGGGCGGCTGGAGGGTTGGCTGGGGGCGTCTTCTGGGGGGGGAGCCCCCCAACCACTGACGCCAGAGAGATGGGGGTGGTGGGTGGCGGGTTGTGCTTGGCACCGAGGGTCTGCTCGCGTCCCCCCGGTGCGGGGAGACCCCCCACGCCACCGGGAATCTTGGTCCCAACCTGGACCACATTGGCTGTAGGGTAAAGAGGAGCATGGGAGGAGGAGGATGAGGAGGAAGAAGAGGAAGAGGAGGAGGAGGAGGAGGAAGGAGGAGCAGGAGGGGCAGCGGCAGCAGAGGAGGACGTGGGTGTCTGTGGGGCTTGAGCCTGGAAGAGGCGTGAGGGCTGGCCATCCAGCTGGGAGTGGTAGCTCCCCGCCGGGGGTCCCTGGGGGTGCACCTCGCCCGGGAGCCCAAAGCTGGGCTCGGGTGGACGGGGCAGGCTGTCAGGAGCGGGAGCTACCGGCGGGCTCTGTGGGAAGAGTGGAGGGTGGTGGTAGGAGTGAGACGGCCCCTGGGACAGCACGGAGGAGGAGTCGGAGTCATTCTCCACGCTGCCAGGGCTGTAGACGCTGGGCGAGGTGCTCCTGTTATCCTGGTCAATGTCCCGAGGGTCACTGCTCATCTCATCGTTGAAGCTGTGGCCATCGAGGCTGTCAACATCAGACGGGGATGGAGGACAGGGCAACTCCTGAAGTAGGGAGAAGGAGGAGAGGGGCATTATGTGGCCTCCCAGACCATGCGTGCATGAGCCAGGTTCTTGCCACTGAGCTGGGAAAGTCAGGGCATGTGCCCAGCTTCCAGAGCATGGCAGTTCCCTGTAGGCAAGGCAAAAGAGAGAGAGAGCCTCTATCTGCTCAGTCACTGCTCCCGGTGGCAGCTCTGTATCCAGGCAGATGCCATTTAGGTTGGAGGAGATGCACAGGTAGGGAGCAGGAGACTCCTCTGCCCTGGACCTGGGACGCGCCAGCAGCCACAGATGGGAGAGCTCACCTCGGTCTTGGTTTTTTTGGGAGCATTGGTGTCCTCCCCTTCACTCTCTGAGATCTCTTCTGCTCGGCCCTGCTTGCTGCCCTTTGGGGCGCAGGATTCCTCCACCCGGCCTTTCTGCAAGGGAGAGGACAACAGGGAGGTGGACAGTCATAAGGGAACACAACCTGCAGCAAGCCAGATACAGCCACCGTGGTGCTTGTGTTGAAGACCTTAGCAGAGGAACAGTGAGGGAGGATTAGGGCAAAAATTTGCACTGAAAAGGGCTGGTGGGACTGAAGACCAGTGCTTGGGAGCTGGCAGGAAGCATAAGACGCTGAGGATGAAGGAGGGATCCCCTCCTTTCCAGAGAGTTAACCTAGCATGGATCCTTGGTGGATCCCTTCTGGTTTGCTTCCCTGGATCCCCGGATGGATCCCACACCATCTGAGCAGCGCTGGGGCACCCCAACTCAGGCACTAACTCACGCTACCTTTGTCGCTTGCCGGGACTTCTCAGCCTTGCCATCACTGCTGGAGGTGCTGACACCCCCAGGGGAAGCTCGGCCCCGTGACCTGAGCTCCTCTCGGGGCCCTGGAGTCTCTTTCTTCCGTCCACTCCGCATTGACATCTATGAGAGGGATCACTGGATCAGTCCTGCTTTGTATCTCCCTCCACCCTGCCCTGTCCCCAGCCTCGCAAAGCCCCTGAACCCCTGGCACTGCATCACACCAAGCTCACGTCCACCCGCTTTGCTGTGAGCCTCAGTCCCAAACCAAGGCTTGGCTCTGGTGTCCCACCCCCCTCTCCCATCTCACGTACTGAGTCCTTGTTCTGTCGCGTCTTCATTCTTTTGGGTGTGGGACCCCCATTCTCCTTGGCCCGGTTTGATGAAAACATAAATCTTTATCACTCCGTGACCCCCTTCGGCTGCTCCCGGGGACACAGACACTGGGAAGAGCGGTTCTTCAGGGAGAAGGTCCTGGTGAATCCTGAAAAGCAGACAAGCAGGTGAGAGGAAAGAAACACAGAGTGGTTTACTATAGAAACATGACAAAATTATTACTGTTTCCTTCATTATCACCTACAGACGCAAACATCTTTACCAAGAATGTAATAAACTCCCCCAGGAGTGGGGGAAAAGATTTGGCCACTGCCACATCTCATTTCCAATTGCTTGGAAGAATACCCACCTAGTGCAAGGCAGTCAGGGCCCCACAGTGCTCTGGAGGAAGCAGAGGGGAATGGTTAGCAGGGTGCTAACTGGCCTCTGGAATTATTTCAGTGTTTTGATTTCCTTTTTTTATTGGATCTTCAGAAAGAGAGAGGAAAAAATAATGGGAAAGTGCTTTAAAATATTCCTAATGACATGGAGTTCTGACTTCCTAAGTTCCTCTTTGCACTTGTTGTCAGTGAAGTAAGTTACACTACCCTTAGCTGGCTGTGTGCTGTCATTAGCTAGCTCTGTATAATGAGCCCCCAGCGGCCTTTGCTCAGGGGGTATTACACAGTCCTGCCCTCTCAAGAGCATACGCACATGCATATAGACACCGGCATGTTATGCAGTGTGACGATGAGGCTTGCTTAGGCTGTTCAATGCCCAAGGTACCCAAGTAGGTGTGAGAAAATGTATTGAGCTTTAATCTCACATGACACAAACAGAATCAGCTCTGTTTAGTTTGAAATGCCTGCCCATGTCTCATTCTCCTCCACATACTGGACTGTGTCTCAGTGTACCAAACAGGGTCATGCTCAGAGATGCAGGGTACATTCCTAACACTTTGCAGCAGTAGGATGAGTTCTGAGATACCTCTGAATAAATTCACAGCTTTGTGCTATGTCCAAAAGCACTGCAGGTATTTAACACCCTGTTACACCACACAGTTCCTAGTTCAGGGTATGAAAGCACCGCGACTGTATTAGCCTGGGAAATGGGCTAAAGTGACTCAGGGATGATGCTCCTGAAGCTGGTTTGCTTGGCTCCACCCAGCTTGAGATCTTCTGCACTGCACTGCACAGAGGTTAACCAAAAAGAGACTGTCCTTCCCCAGCCTGTCCTATACTCGGCCTCTGGAATGGACAATGTGTAAGACAAGGAAACGTGTCCTGTGGATGAAGCATCAGGACTAAAGCAACACATCTCCTGGGTTATATTCTCTGATCTGGAAGCATGGAGAAATTTTGTCAACAAATATCTCCAACCTGGGACTCCTAAAGGCCATCCCAGACCTGGAAACATCAGCTTCCACCTGGCCAGGGCAGGAGCAGTCTGGATGCACTCTCATTTTTCTGAGAAGGGAACTGAAACCAGGGATCAAGACAAAGGCAACAGACAGAATTCTTGTACCTCCTTTGCAGCCCTGCTGTTGGACTGTGTGACCCCAGGGTCACTGCCTTCCACTGCTTCCATCTCCCTACCTGGGAAAAGGGAGTAATGACACTGACCTGTTTCTTCTGTGGCTCCACATTTTCCCTGACCAATGCTCAGAGCAACTCATTGGAAAAGTACTTGGGAAGAGCAAGGGATTGTTTGTGTTAATTTCATTAATATTTTATTTGACCCTCATTGTGAAAGCCACAGGGGACTCATCCTGCATTAATTCCCACACACAACAATTCATTAATGGAGACCTCTTTCTTAATAGAAAACTAGCTCAGGATGGTTTAGAGCTGACTTGCCAGAGGCAGAGCACTCTCCTCATCCCTCCCAGCTGACACCTTTTGCAGCCTTCCATTTCTGTCTCACTACGGCCTTTGGTTGCTAACTCAGCCGGCTACACCGATGCTATTCTAGATAAGCATCTAGAATTAACATCTCTCACATGAAGCAAACAATGTAAGTCAGGCTATCCTAATTTAACTCAGCTTCAACACACGCCACGTTGGCAACCTTCGAGTATTAGCTCAGCTCTGAATACACAGAAGCAGCAATGGCGCATTACCAATATGTCAGTGCTCTTTATGTTCAACAGGGATGCTACCCACACCTCCCACACCAAAGAACTGGGCATCATAACACAGCACACGGGTCTCACTTCAGCTTTCCAGGAACCTTGGAATGATAATTATGGTCTTCTTCCCAGAGAAGCATCTGTGGCCAACCACATACTGAAACTTCCCTTTAAAAACAGAGATACCAACTCAGTACTTATGTCAACCAGTGAATATGCAGCACCAAACAAAGGCAGACACAAACAGGCATGATTCAGTAGGCAGAATTAACCACTGGGTCAGAAGTTTCTATCACTTAAGAGAGCAAATGCTTTGCTAAAACACGTCCCAGAACTGACACACACATTATTAGGCACTGTACAGCAACTGTTATGTCAGGGGGCAGGTGAGAGGATCACGACACTGCCTTCTAATTTTAACATCTATGAAATAAAAGCTTGCAATGTGAGCCTTGACAATTAACAAAGTCACACCTAACCCTTCCCATCACTGAAGATCCCTGTAATCGTCTCTGAAGAGTTCTTAGGGCTCTGTGATTTTGGAAAGGAAATGAGACATTTGGCAGGTTTGCTGTCAAAGGGACAACCTTTTCCTGGCCCTATGAAGCCCTTTACAGGTTTAACGGCATTATGAGGCACTGCAAACGGCTATTTGCTTTTTGCATTTTGTACAACCCAGCTTGGTTTGGCTTCACGCCCAAACCCCTCCATATTCTCTTGTAAGCTCTGGTGCAGTCTCCTCCAAGCAACACACACTCAACAGGCATCCCCACATGGGATCCAAAATGGATCCTGCTCCTCCTCTCCCCCAGCTTCAAGCAGTTCTCCTTGCCAAAGGTGGACTGTCCTGCACAGGCAGCCAGGAGCTCACAGGAGGCTCCAGATCCTCTTCTGCTGAGGGATGCAGGTTAAGTTCTCTTCTTCCCAGGCTACAGTATGAAGCAACTCTCCACAGGTAACAAAACCAGAGTCAGGTCCATCTCAAAGGAGATGCACTCAAGTTAAGCATATACCCTTGGTCTATCCAGAACACTGGGTGGATGTTTGTGCTTGGCTCAGGGCAGCCAAGTCAGACTGAAGACTGACTGATGTCTTGGACTGAGGGCCTGAGAAAATAAACCTTCCTAAATGGCAAGAGAAGCAGCAGAAATGGGAATGGAACCAAGCTGTCCACGACGGGTTTTGGGGGCTTGGCCAGCACTGTAAATGATAAATGAGTCGTGCTCCAAATCCACAGAGGGCTGAAAGGCTTTTTCACTTTGGCCAGAACTCAATGGCAGAGCAAGCGCCAGGATAGGCTGCTCCAGTCTGCCTGAGAAGGTTAAAAGCCACCTAAGGTCAACTAGATCTCCCTGGGGCCAGTGACAGGAGAAGGGAGATCTGAAGGCTGCTTCAGAGCTAGCACCACCATTGCTTCAGCAGCATGTCTTTAGCTAGCAGACATTTGACAGCTGATCTCAGTGAGGACTGAATCAGGACTTAAGAGTTACCATGGTCTCTTCCCCTTCTTTGGCATTACTCCTCTCTTGGGAACAAAAAAACCCAACACCCAAACCAAACGAGCAAACAAAAGGCCACCCAAGAAAACAAACTGAACATCTGCTTGGTTTTATGATCTGCTATTCTTGATCTCCAACCGAAATGCCCCAGCAATCCCAGGCAGATTCAGACCTGGTCCAAGCACGACGGGAGGTGCACCAAGCAGAATGCGACTCTGGCACATGACATGAGAGCCCTGAGTTAGTCAGCAATGATTTGGGGGTGGAAGGGAATAGCACCGATGTAGCCTACTCTCTCCACTGAAGCTCTGCCTGGTAGACCATGCACCAGTTGGAGGTGAAGATGTCAAAGTGTATGGCTGGATCACTCAGTCTCGAAGAAAATTAAGCAAAAGCTCTGCCACCCATCAGGACCACAAATACTGCAAGAAGGAGCAGTCTGACAGCATCTGTACTTTGAAACAAAAGGGATAGGGCCTACTGTCTGGTCCTGGGGGTGACTGGCATTACACAGCTTGCACCCAGATAGCAAAATCCTCCTATCCTCCAAAAGGGGACATCTAACCTGGCCACTGGCCATCAGTGTATTCCTATGCCAAGTCCTACACCATGCTCAGGCATCATCCAGGACAGTGCTCTCTGGGACAGACTGAAGACTATACAAAGGAACACCATCCTAATGGACAGACAGTGCTGCGCACCAGTGCTGGGGCCCACTTCATTTGTTACTAGAGACATAGCCAGTGTTATCTTCCACTAGATCGTAGTCCACAGAAAGCAAGTTTGAAGTAAGGAGTCAGTGAAACTGTTTCTCCTTCAGCCCAAGTACAAATGTTCTGAAGTTCAATTCTCTTCTTTTTCTCCAGTTGGGAACTGCTGAAATCCAAAATGAACAGCATTTGGCATGCAAAGGCAGACTTGGAAGTCAGAAGATGAAAGAACTAAAAGGAGTGTTTCTCTGCAATTCATTAGCTCTGTGTTCCCATCCTGATTTTTCTCTTCCCCCTTTTGCAACGCAATGGGTTAGCACTGGAAGGAGGAACCAGGGTGGTGAAACAAACACGGCTGCTTTCTAACACATTGCAGATGCTGGAAAGTGTTCTGAAAGTAAGATGGGGCGATAACCAATGGATCCCTCTTGATGGGTAAAGATCACTCAGAAGGGGGTGAGCAGTGGAGCAGTACAGCCAGGGGACACATACTGTGGGTGGGAGGTCAGAAGGTGGCATATATATATATATACACACATATATATACACACACACACATATACTGCCCAGGGAATGATCCCAGACATTTTTAATCCCTGTCTCCATTTCCCTCATTGTATAAAGGGAAAATTCCACAAAATGTAATGGAGTTTAACAACTGTGTAGCACCTTGAAAACATGACGTTTTATCTAAAATACTGCAAATCAGACAACCTGAATCACAGCATCTCCCAATGGCTAATGACTTAACTTCATGCTTTAACTCTGGCATCTTCTATAGGCCATGGTGGAGAAAGCAAGAGACGCAAGAGGAAGGGCACAGTGTTAGACA